CAGCTCCAACGGGACAGGAGACAGCGCTGTGACAGTTCAGAGACTATCGGGCACTGTCTGTATAACGATCGCACACTACAGCCGGCCCGGATTAACCCCTTAAAACACGTACCTCTAGCCGCACAGACAGCCGCACGCTCTGCCGGGATTGTGCTCACACAGCAGAAGGTCCTCCTTCACGCATTCCTCTCTAGGACCCAGGGGCTGCCCCTGTCTGCCTGAAACTGTGACATCTTGTGTCCGGGGCTACGGTGGCCGGAAAACCGGACACAAGATGCCAAAACCGTACTGTCCGGTTGAAAACCGGACAGGTGGCAACCCTACCTGGGAATATGCACTTATTTGTGTTACAATTCACAGAGCCTGCCTTCTGAACTCAATGTCTGAGCAACGTAGCATTATCGTTGCTTGCTGGAAGCAGTGCATCATGGGATATGTGGTCTTGATACATTGAGATTGCATCATATCAAGCAGCTGGGAAAGAGATACAAAGCACACTGGGAATCCAGGAAGTTGCTGAAAGTGATGAGCAGACAGAAGGCAGCACCCACTATATAGAAGGGATTTTTCAAGTAAGCTTTGATTGCATTATCATGAACAACTCTAGTATGTATTCTTATTACACTGCTGACGTTATAACAGGATAGTACTATGCTGCGACTTTACAACTCCTTTAAACTCCTTTAACTATACAAGCGATCCGCCGGCTCATGAGGCCCCGAGACGTGCGCGCCCACCCACCCCCCTCCCGCTGTCAAGCTGGTCCCGGGCTCTGGTGTGAGCCCGGGACCAGCATAAGGCCTCTGTCACAGGGGATCAGAGGGAGCTCTGTACACGAGCTCCCTCCGGTCCCCTCTCCGCTGTCAGAATGCGGAAGTGTTGATCCGCCAGCGCTGACTGGCGGAACGGACGGGGAGGGGGCGGGTACAGCTGGCTCTGCCTCTAGATAGGCAGAGCCAGCTGTCACTCACGCAGCTGGGCGGATCCAGACATACTGTAATTGGCGGGATCCGCTTCAGCTGCGGCGTCTCAGTACACCGCGAGCAGTAGCTCGCGCTGTACTGTGGCGTCTTAGTATACCATGAGCTGTAGCTCGTGGTATACTGAGCTTAGGGTGAAGGGAGGACGCTAGTTTGTGTCCTCCCGTTACCCTAAGGAGAACTATGGGGAAAAGCCTTAACTGAGTCCCTCAGTAGCAGGAGATTATATCCACCAGCCCTATCCTAAATCTCCTTTCAGTTGTCTGTGTCTCATTGGGAAGACTTCCAACTGGCAACTGTAAGACTTTGGACACTGCAGCTTACTTGTCCTTAGATGTGGTGGCTTCAATCGTTTATATATATCAAGCTAAGTCTGTTTTCTGCATGTACAGCAAAATACCCCTTTTTTTCACACTGCAGTATCACACAGATGATTTCCAACTGTGCGTTGCCATGAGCTAGCCCATCATGGTATGTGGAGATGTCTGTTGTGTGTTAAAGGAGAACTATGGGGTCAGTGTTTTTCCCCATAGTTCTCCTTAGGGTAACGGGAGGACACAAACTCGCGTCCTCCCGTTACCCTAAGCTCAGTATACCGCAAGCTACAGCTCGCGGTATACTGAGACGCCGCAGCCGGAGCGGATCCCGACATAGACGTCGAGATCCGCCCAGCTGCGTGAGTGACAGCTGGCTCTGCCTATCTAGAGGCAGAGCCAGCTGTACCCGGCCCCTCCCCTGTCCATTCCGCCAGTCAGCGCTGGCAGATCGGAGCGGGGTAAGGGCAATCCAGCCCCTCCCCCTGTCACTGCAGAGAGCTGTGACAGGATCGAGAGGTGAGGGAACCCGGTATGTGTTCGCTCACCTCTCGATCTACTGAGCCGACCTGTGACAGTCTCATTGTCACAGGTCGGCTAGAACTATGAGGTGAGTGGAAATCACTCATCTCATAGTTCACCTTTAAGGAAGGAGTTTTTCTGTGCATAGCCACAACTATATGAATCTGTCCTTATAGAAGAACACTGAGCAAAATGTGTTATTAACCCTTGGAGTGGGGCTACCCCTGCGCTGCAAGGGTTAACTGCTCGTTTTGGTCCGGGGAGGAAAATGTTACAAAAGAATAAAGTTATACTCACCTGATCCTCAGAGCCGGCAGCACTCCCTCCAGCATGTCTCTTCCTACACTGCAGAGATGGCATGTTCCTTGTTGTCCTCCCATCCAATACACTGTGTATAGAATATGACTCTGAGACCTTAGACCACTGCAGTGGAGGGAGCACGAGGCTCCAGGGACCTGTCTAAGAGCAAGCCTGTTCCGAGGATCAGGTGCGTATAACTTTGTTTATTTTTGTTTCCTAGACCAAAACGAGCAGTTAGCCCTTGGAGTGCAGGGGTAGCCCCACTGCAAGGGTTAATCAAAATTTTGCCCGTCCTTCTTTAAAGCAGAACTAAACTCTCACCACACTTACCTACACTCTGGGATGATGTAACACGCATGCATGCACACGGGAAGCAATTCATCCTAGTACCTGGCAGATGCCCGGAATACACACACTACAAATGCACAGCTCAGTCCACAATGTAAAGAATATTGTGAGGAGGAAAGGAAGAAGCTGTTATTGCACAACAGACATAGTACGTCTCTTCCTGTGCACAATTGTTAGTGTTCGGGCCGCAGTTCTGCTTTAAAGTCTTCAACAAAGTTGCTTGTAGTGGGCTGACAGCTTTGCAAATTCTTTGTAGAAGTTTGTTAAACACATTTCTGCACCCTGTATGTACAAGGCCATAGTGGAATGAGGTGTGTTGCAGATAAAACTACTATAACCTACAGTACAAACACTGTACTGCCTGCCACCTACCTAATAGATGGAGTTCTCCATTTACCCAGCACAGCATCTGTCCTGTATCTGTAGAACTACAAGTCACAGCTGGCCCCACTGCACAGTCTCCTGCTTCTATTGAAGTAGAAGTCCCAGTATACTATACTGTACTTGTATTTCTCCTGTCTCTCTCGAGGTAAAAGTAGCAGTACACTACACTACACTTACATTACTCCTGTCTCTGTAGGACTACAAACCCCAATATCCAATGATGTATTTCTCCTGTCTCTGTAGGACTACAAACCCCAATATCCAATTATGTATTTCTCCTTTCTCTGTAGAACTACAAACCCCAATATCCAATGATGTATTTCTCCTGTCTCTGTAGAACAACAAACCCAATATCCAATGATGTATTTCTCCTGTCTCTGTAGGACTACAAACCCCAATATCCAATGATGTATTTCTCCTGTCTCTGTAGGACTACAAACCCCAATATCCAATGATGCATTCCTCCTGTCTCTGTAGAACTACAAACCCCAATATCCAATTATGTATTTCTCCTTTCTCTGTAGAACTACAAACCCCAATATCCAATGATGTATTTCTACGGTCTCTGTAGGACTACAAACCCCGATATCCAATTATGTATTCCTCCTTTCTCTGTAGGACTACAAACCCCAATATCCAATGATGCATTCCTCCTGTCTCTGTAGAACTACAAACCCCAATATCCAATGATGTATTTCTCCTGTCTCTGTAGAACAACAAACCCAATATCCAATGATGTATTTCTCCTGTCTCTGTAGGACTACAAACCCCAATATCCAATGATGTATTCCTCCTTTCTCTGTAGGACTACAAACCCCAATATCCAATGATGTATTCCTCCTTTCGCTGTAGGACTACAAACCCCAATATACAATGATGTATTTCTCCTGTCTCTAGGGTTATAAGTAGCAGTACACTACACTTACATTTCTCCTGTCTCTGTAGAACTACAAGTCCCAGCATCTAATGATGTAGGTTCCAGAGATAGAGACATAATCCTGCCCCTGTACAAAGCATTAGTAAGACCTCTTCTGGAACATGCGGTTCAGTTTTGGGCATCAGTTCACAAAAAGGATGTTGTGGAACTGGAGAAAGTGCAGTGAAGGGCGACTAAACTCATAAGAGGCATGGAGGAGGTCAGCTATGAGGAAAGGTTATGTCAACTAAATTTGTTTTCGCTGGAGAAGAGGCGATTAAGGGGGGACATGATCACCATGTGCAAAGTTATTCACTGTAAGGTCCTTGCAAGGACAAGGGGGCACTCTTTGCATTTGAAAGATAAGAGGTTTAACATCCACATACAGAGAGGCTTCTTCAAAGTAAGAGCTGTACAAATGTGGAACAGACTCCATAAAGCACTAGTCCTAGAGAGATCAAATCATTGTTTAAAAAAGTCTGGATGCATTCCTAAAGGCAGGGAATATAACATCTTATATATACTAACACCAGGGATTGTTGATCCAGGGATTATCCGATTAGCATTGGGGATCAGGAAGAAATGTCTTGGAGCAAACTGAACCAACTTTGATATCTTTCAACTTCCTGTGGATCAACTGTGCGTATAAGGTTCTGTATATGGAGATTTTTTTATTTACCTACCCCCCCCCCCGTCTGAACC